CACACCCAAATATCTGCTTTAGTTTGAAAACACTGAAAAATCTTGGGTGCATCCATTTCAAAAGACTCATTTGTAGTAAAGATGCTGTAGAAAACATTGTTTGGCTTAGCCCTTAGCTAAACTGTCTTTTGCACCTATTTCATAGTTTGGCCAGTTTAAGCACCAAGGGGTAGTTTAAAGGGATAGCTCAGATCTTTTTGAAATGGGGTTTTGTTAAGAGGGTGTGAGCTGTCTCACTATCAGTAGATGCGTATTTTAGGGGTTAAATGCGATGTCAGTGTGTCACCTTTAGCTTACCATTAGAGGCATTGTACTGAAGTCCACCAAGACAAAAGATTCCTGGACTTCAGCTTCTGCAGTTTGATGTCAAAAATAAATAAATAAATTGATTTCGAGCAAAATGTTTGTCTGAGCTGTGCCAACAGCAAAGGGAACTCCTGTCATTCTAAAACATCTCTAGTCTCAGAAATCAACTCTGCCGTTTATCCATTTATCCTGATATCCAGGAGGCATATTGTTTTAAGCTTAAATAAGCAAGATTTATTCTAGGGTGATATAAAGCCAATGTCTTAACTGAACAACTATAGAAATAGTTCTTAGATTTTCAGAGTTTATTTTAGTTTTGGTTTATGCCTTCTGCATTTTTTATGCATTTTTATGCACTTTAATTGTGCCACTTTAAAATGTGTAGTTATAGTTGAAACTAGATACGATTCATTGAATCAGACTTAATTTTTCAAGTTTCAGTTCCATTAGGATTACCAAAATTATGGTAAGGTTATTAAGGCTACACTTTTTGGGCAGTATGAAGTATTTAGGTCTAAATCTGAGGTACATATTTATTTGCGTGGCTTTGATATTTAATTTCCATCTTGCTTTGTGTAGTATTATCACTAAAGTATGATATGAATATTTGTTCATATTAGCTGCCACTGTTGTTTACTGTGGGCATTTGTTAGCTCTTCCAATTTTAATTGTCAGTCTATGTTGGTTCAGGTGTCAGCAGCCTGTTATATTTAAATCTTTGCAATTCTAACCTTTTAACCCCGTATAGTTATTTTTTCTTTAAACTTCTCAAGCTCTCCCAGAGTTCTGTTTAGTTCACTTATATTCCATAGTGTGTTATTCCTCCCAGGGTATTAGAGATTTAAATCAGACCAGTAGGCAGAAATATCAGTAGAAATTATAGCAGAGTTATGACCACATATTGATTTAATGTGAAATAAAGGGATCTGTTTCATTGCCAGTTTTGCACTGATGATGTTCCTCATGTAATTGCTGCTAATTTAACTAAATTGCCAAATTACCATCTGGTTTGAGGATAAAACACAGATTTAAAAAGTGCAATTTTCCATTCATTTAAAATGAAGTAAAGTTTCTCACAGAGTGATTTAGATGCTCCAAAAAGTCACTGAAGTTGATCAAGGTTTACGGGGGTTGAGGCTGATTTGGCCTTTTCTAACAAACCCTTATTATCCAAATCAGATAATTTAGACATGATTTCTATGATGATTAGGTGCTGCACCAATATTTTTTGTACAACTAATTTTCAGAATCCTGTAATACATTTTGGCTTTCATCACTTTCTGCTCCTTTACTGACAGTCAACCCACTCTGAGTGACTGGCTTTTCAGGCTTTGGCAGGTTGCACATATGGCCTTACTGTAAATCAGATTCAGACTTTCCATTCATGTGACCTGCTTGGGGGACTGCAATGGCCTTTACACTGACCTTGTGGACCTTTTTATAGACTTAAAATCAGAGAAGGGGGGAAAGGGGAAGCTCAGTGGCTTACACAGAAACAAGTTAAGTGTCTCTTCCCTTTGATTAAAATCTGACCTTTTGGCATTTTTGAAATTTAATGCATTAGAGTTGTGCCTTATTGGGCCGTCCATCTCAGAGTGGTGTAGAGAGTGGACTTTTTTGGCCCTCTCTCCTGTGAATTGCATTATTGGTAAATGATACCCCATTTTAAAGGCAGAGCCCTCCCCATGTACACCCCCACCTGCTTTCTTCTACCGCCAGACGCCCCCCCTCCCCACACCTTTATATCTTCCCTCCATCACACCTGATTGCATCTGACAAATGCCCCTATTGGCTCCATATCATCAGGTGCAGTGGAGGCAGCGTAACACTATATTACTCTGCCCATACACCACATCTGTTCTCCATTTTGCATGGCTGACACACTTGCATCTGCAAGCCTCGAATAGGGCCAAGGCCCTGTCACTGGAAAACTACAGCATCTTCTATTGGCAAATGGAGTTCTTGGAGGTTTTATCCCTACTAATACACTTTATTTTATGCTATTTAGCAAATGTTTTCTTTCACGTGCTGGTTTCTGGTTACTATTCTGTCCTTCAAACTGCCATAAAAACTCTTGGCTGGTCTTTTGTTTGTGAGCAAATATGCTAAATTGGGAGGGTATTAAATACTTACCTGATCTGTCCTTTTATGATTCATTAAAATGGAAGTATATGTGGACATTTTAAAGCATATTTGATGTTTCTGTGATATTATAGATGATTTACTGACTTAAGTTTATTAGGAAAGCAGCAAAGTTGTTAACCATGCTCGACTTATATAACTTAACCAAACCATTTCCTATCTGCCAATTCATTTCAGTGGTTGTCTCTATACTTACTTGATGCCAATAGTGAGTAAAACACCCAAAACTTGCTATTATTTTCTATACTTCTTTTAGTATTCTTTTCTTTTAGTAATAAACAAAAAATATTAGAAAAAAATATTCGTTAACAGTATTATAGTATATTTTTACTGTCTTAAATTGTAAAAAACAAACAAAACAAAAATAAGTAGTAGGCAACTGAGGGCATTTTGTGAATAAAATATACAAAAAAGTATTACTTTCCTGTGTAGTTAATATCCTTGATGGATGTATGTGCCTTGAATTCAGCTGACCAAGTAACTGGAAACATTTTTCTTACCAGTGTTAACTGGGATTTGGTTTATCTTAATGTATTCAGTTTGTGTGTTTCTGGTGATTTTACGTCATATTTTGTTTTTGGCGTTACTCAAATGTCATTCAATGCTATCACACAAATGTCTTGATTCAGACAATACATTTTTGCAAATTTTCAACTGCTAACATTGCATATGCCAGATTGGTCAATTATCTATTGTAGTTTTCGCAAATCTTAGTTCTAAAACTGATATCTTTGAGTTCACTTCAGCAAAGAGTGACATCATTCTGTCCAAGCTCCACTTAACTCTAAGCAACGCCAACGTGTCTTAAGGTAGAAGTTGAATCATCCTTGACGGTTGCATTTTTGCATCAGCCAGCTTGACCTGTGCCATGTCTCTCTACTTGCTGATTATTAAATACAGACTTTGAAAGTGACTTTGGGGAAATTTAAGTGAGGGAAAAACACCAGAGCAGTGGAGTGCTTCCTACCAGAGAGAAACGCTGATGGACTGTCATGGCCGGCGTCTCATCAGCAGGAATGCAAGTGGGGTTTTGCGCAGTAGTCACCATGTGGTGGCAAGGTTAGGTCACATCAACTGCTTCTGACTCTCATACAAAGAGGATGCTGAGCTGAAAGGCAGCGCATTACAATTCTCTGGTTTAACTCAATTTCTCTCGCTTCATATTTTTTGGTATTGTGTACATGGAAACTTATTCAATTACAAGCCACAATAGAAAAAGGCCACACAAAGCAAGAGCAAGACTGTGCAAGAAAGATGGATAGATCTCTGAGGTCCTTCATGTTTGTCATATGTTCTTCTGAGTTGACCAGACAGTGCACTGCTGAGTGGTAATTGGCGGACATCCTGGGAAAGGTGGCCGCAGCGCTGCTTTGCCTCTGGGTCTCCTTTAACAGTGTGAGCCAGCTATAATTGGCCCAGCATATTGCTTTGCTTATATGATGCTCTTACTTGGACTGTAGGCTGTGCTAATGATTCACTAAGGACCTGTTAATCATTCTTAAGACTTTTAATCAATTGGAAGGGTAATTTTATTATCTCTGTTAAGTCACTTTATCGGTGTTCATTCAGTTAATGACTCAAAAACGATATTTACTCAGATTTTGCTCCAAAAAAATAGTTCTTGTCATTTGTTTAAAGAATAGCATTAATTTTGCATCTTATGAGCTTTCTTGGATGATTAATTATTAATTGCTAATGCTGCCAGTAATTCATTAAAAAACTGTTTAAAGTTTCCATCCCACTTCATTTCTGGTCAGTATGTGTGGCTAATAAAGTTAGCTGTGAGCTGAGCTCTCACAGCCCACCCATTAGTTTAAATGGAGGGGTTGGATGGATGGGAGGTGGGGGCAATGGCACCATATGGTAGGTCCTTGCCTGTGACAGCCTGACACATTAGTCATTGATGGCTCACAGCCTCTCAGATGATAGGCAGTGCTTAAAAAGCTGACCTACAAACACACACACACACACACTCATCCTCCAACAGACACTAAATTCATCCTGAAACACTCTGCCATACTCACAAAATAGCTTTTCCAGGCATCAGCACAGTCAACTTGATAATTTGTTGTCTGAAACAATCAAATCTGAGATGCAGTGCTTTTACAGTTATGAAACCATTATTACAGAACAATAAATTTGATCTATCATTTTCGCACAAGATAGGAATCTTGAACATATTGCCACATTTGAGAAAAACATACACTGCTTTTTGCTTTAAAGGCCCAGCAGGGGGCCTTCCTTCTTCTTTTAACAGTTATTTTGAGTTATTTCAGTGCAATTTTTTACTCTCAGTCTTCAGTAAATGCAGCGCAGTTCTCTCTTAACTAATGAGTAATAAACACAACCCTCTACGAGTATTGGTATCCATGTTAAAATTGTGTAAAAACCTTAAAATTAAAGTAGCTTGAGTGTTTATAAACTTTATTAGTAAAAATGACTACTCATTTTCCTTAGTTATAAATATGACATGAGAATGAAAATCCATATCTTTTAAACCAGTCCTCAAATTGGGATAGAGAAGAGATGCATGGGGAAAACATGCAAACTGCATGCAGAAAGACCCCCGGCCGGAAGTCGAACCCAGGACCTTCTTGTTTCAAGGCAACAGTGCTTCCAACTGCACCACCGTGCAGCCTTAGTTTAGTATTTTAGCCACTAAAAATATACATTAGTTATTGGAACAAATAATAATAGAACAAACATAGAATAAATTAGAATATTATTGAAAAGTTCATTTATTTCAGTACCTCAGTTCACTATGTGAAACACATTATATAGAATAATTACACACTGATGTTTTCAAGCTTTTATTTCTGTTAATTATGATGATTTTCTGCTTACAGCTGATGAAAACATGACATTTAAGATTAGAATATTACATCAGACCAATTAAATAAACCGTTTTATACAGAAATGTGGGCTCAATAAAAACATATGTTTAATACCTGCTTTAAAGGTTATTTTTAAATCTGACAAATGAACCTCATCGGAATGTATATTCCAGTTAGCTGAATATGACTGTAGAGAGCATGATGTCATGGTAGGATATTGAAATATAATATCGTACCACATATTGTGTCCAGGCAATTCTTTGCCTTTGCAATATTACACAGTCTGATAGTGTGACGACATTGTCTTGTGTCTAATCAAATTGAAATTGTGGTTGACATATTATTTTCCATGTAAGAATGTCTTTTGATGTCTAACTGGGGTTGAAAGGTGGTTTAGTTGATCAAATGGGTTAACTGGGCCTGGCTTGCAACGTCTTAGTTTAGGCTAAATATAGGCGCCTACCTATGGGCTAAAAAAAGATTTTCAGCATTATTCTTCTGGACTAAATAAGAACACGCCATAGCAAATTTAAAATTGTCAACTATCAAGATGTCCATGGACAGTGTTGGAGGACTGTCACTGTTGGAGAACTGCAGCAAAAAGTGGTAATTTAAATCACAAAGTCCCCATAACATCAATTTATTTTCAGACCTGGTACATATTTTCACCTGGGGTACACTGTATTTAGTGTTTAATACCCATTAACTATTCAGGTTCTCCAATGTTTACTTTCCCTTGTAGCATGTTAGAGTTGATTACAGCTCAGTGGACCTGCAGCCGGATGCAAGGCTACAGTCTGTGCTGCAGTATGGATGGAGATTAGCATCAGCCTTAGGGAGTTGTAAGCCTTACTCCCTCTTCTCTGCTTTTTACTCTCCTCAAAACACTGAGGTGCTTGCACGTTGTGCCTGAAATGTGTCATCAGCTGTCTTGGCAGTTCGTCGCCACGTAAACCTCTGAAGTGATGGCACACCATGCCTGCAAAGGTCATCGTAGGAGTGGGTTAAATGTCCCCGGGAGGAGCGAGGACCCCAGCCAGACTGTGTGTGATTTGTGTGAGTTTTTCGCTGCTGGAGCTGCATCGCTTCTCCTCTATGAATGACCTTGACCAGCTCTCCCTCAGTTTTAACTTAAAAGTCGCTCTCTAGAAAAACTGTGTGGCCACCGGGTGTCAGATGTGCCAGTTGTCATTAGTCTAAGCCTGATTGGAGGGGGATCTGAAGAAATGAGGAAAAAAAAGGACTGCCATTAGAGGTCAAGCCATCACAACAGAGGCACACAAGACACATCCCCTGTTTTGATTTAATCCAATTAGACATCCACTGAAGTTTCGGTTGTTTTTGGGCAAGCCTGATTAGCTTTGTTGGGGTAAAGCTGTGCTTCTTCTCCTGTTTTATTTTTCCTTCTGCTTGTGTTTGCTCAAGAAATCAGGTTTTCCCTTGCCCTGTTTAGCATGAATTAAGTAGAATTTCAGCTCTTTCAGTTACAGCTAAACGAAACACACTTGTTCACATTTTGGTTATCTCCATTTCACAAAACACTTTAAACCAAAGAAACAATACATTCTATGTGATATTTAAAAAAAAAAAATTAACATCTGTTCTTTAAAATTAACATCCATTAAAACTAAAACTGCTATTACTCTCAATTGAAAGGTTTGTGCAACCAAAACAACTGAAAATCTTGTTTAATCTTTTAAAATAAATAGTTTTGATGATATAAAGGTTTATTCTAAAGGTTTGTCTTTTTTTCCTTGTAGAAATGAACGTTTGTTTTATGTGCTGAAATATCAGAAAATTAGTTCGGAAAAATTTACCATCACATTTCTTAGCGGAAAGAGCGGCTCAGAGGCCAAACGGCAAATGGTCCTCGCTGGATCACCAGCTTAGAAACATTAAAGGTGCAAAGAGTTCATGTCATGTTTTAATTAATGACACATCCACTCCAATTAGTAAAAAGAAAATTACTGTGGATCCGAGAGCAAATAAACAAAACACAAAGCAAGAAAACATCTTTCAGAAGTTAACAATGAAGGTGCAACATTTAGATGCAAATTTAGAAATCATCAGCAAATACAGAAAATTAGAGATAAATGAAGTTACCAAATCACTAAGATTCACCTGAGTTATGGAATGGGACAACATGTTCTGTTTGTTGTAGCACTATCTTCATGAGTAGGTCGTATACATTTTAATGAGTAAATGCTTCTACTACTCTTTATAACTCTCTTGAGACATTTCCATTACCTGCTTTATTTATTTTTGTTTTATACTTTGCTTGTTATTCATATGGAGTACCTTGAAATGGACCATCTCGTTTTTTACTTTTAACAGTAAAAACTAAATAGTTCTAAAACATCCAAAAATGGTAACAAAGCACAAAACCTGCAGTAATTAATACACACCAAACTATTCAGTCTCCATAATTATAGTGAAATATTAGATACATTGTAGAGTTAATAATGCCAACTACAATGAACTTCAGACATTTTCAGACTAACCCAATATTAAAATTAGGAATGTCCCAAATAGGATTGTTGTGTTTCCAGATACTGACCCCAGCCATACTTCGCTAAAGTAAACAAAATGAATGCCATAAATGGGCTTTTAAACTCAGTAGCTTTGCAGTTTAGAAAAATAACACAAAATTTCACTAGTAGTGACTTCCTCATCAGTGATGTTCAGGACACAGTTTTCTGTTGTATTCCAGTTTCTAGACAGCAACAGTTATTCTATCCCATCAGAAGTTTCTGCAGATTAGCCTTAATATGCTGTTACACCACAGGTTAACCTGGTTGAGAAAGCTACTATAATGCTTTAATAATGTGTCAGTGAGGCATTACAAAAACACCAGAAATCCTCTTTCTACCCCATTCTGATGTATAGTATATGCTATTTTTAGTGGGGCACTTAATAATTTGAATTATTTGTTTATAGACACCATGTATCTTTTTCCTTATTATTTTATGGTAAAGTTGTACTTCATTTAGACTTTTAACCATTGTGTTAATTCATACTAGACCTACCTTTGTACTGACCATTTGGCCATCAAGCATCTGGGATTAGTCATAAAATGTAACTATTAATAAGACTTCTTAGACCATGATTAGAATCACAAAACTATAACACTGCACATAGAAAATACAACAATCCTGGTCAGTATAATTCTAGTTGAGGAATATTACCGCCTGAAATGTGCAGCCCTGGGTGAATTCTTGCACTGCAGCATTTCAGAAATGACCTGCCTTGATCATTGTCACTTCTGTCCTCCGTCATCCTGCTTCCCACTGGGACCAACATGTGGAACGGTCATCTCTCACCACACTCCTTTGTGCCTGTATAGTGGAGATGATATAATAGCTGTGATTTACACTTCTCAGTCATATTCACAGAGCGAAAATAGAAGTGCTACCATCAATAGCGCAGCTCGGCGCTCCACTGCAAAGGATGCTTTTTAACAGGATTCGGTCAGAGAAGAAATGAGGATACTGGATCAAATGAGGTCAGGGACTGTTGTCAGTTTGAATCAGATAAAGGTATAATCATAACCCTCATTTAAGAAAAGAGGTAAGAAATGAAGCAATCTTGTGCGCTGCAGTCATTTGAGAAATAGAACATAAATGTCAATGACAGTAAAATCCAGAGCCGCAATTATTGGGAATAATTTCTCATTTTACTGTTTGCGGGCCGACTCTTTGTAGAATGTTTTCAAGGCTCTTTTGAGTAGTAAGACTCAGTAGTGTAGTCTCCTCTTGTTTTTAAAGATGCCATTTGGAATTCATGACCAGGAGTCCATATGCAGATTCGGAAGGGCTCTGATTAAAGCGCTAACAAGCACTTGATGGTTTAGGGATATCACATTTCCTTTTGTTTTAATGCACTCTGTTAGGCTCACTCACAGTTAATAAGTCACAATCAATCTACCTGCTGTACGCACCGAGGCTTTGTAAGAGCTTAACAGGACTCCTGAGAGATGGAATAATTTCACTTTTGAAACCAACTGACAGACTGAGTGCATGCATTCATCTTTGCGTCTGTGTGGAATCGCAACAACTTTCATTGTTTATTTATTTGCGCGTGTGCGTACGAGGGTGTAAGAGAAAACGGAGACTAAAAGGAGGCTGTCAGATATTGCCTGTCTGGAAGACAGGCGCGGTATGTTGTCTCCTTTCTATCTCCGCTTGAAAGAGTCGGTAGAGTTGCCTTGAGCTAGTGTATCATATTTGATGACCTCAGAAACAGCTCTGTCACAGCACCTGACTTGTGCTTTCAGCTGGTCGAGGCATCTCATCTAGTAGATGAAAATATTGAATTCTAGCCGAAGTTCTCTGACCAAGTCCTTACGAATCACTGCAAATGAGAAAGAGTAATGCACATGTACCTACTTGGATTTTACAGGTCAGGACATAATTAATTATCTGGTTCTAAAAACACACTACAGCCGCCACACTGTCATAATTTAGTAAAAAAGTAATGAGGCCAAAATAAATGTGTGTACAAAAACCCCATAATTCATTAGCTCGTACAACCAGTATTACCTTAAAGTAGTCATTTTCTGAATAACTTTTTTAGTCCCTCATGTTGTTGTAGAGAAATCTTTGTAAATTCTTCTTTACAAATGCCTTAATTCATTGAAGATTATTTTTGTTAAGCTTTTTTAAGGTCCCTCTTAATCACACTAAGGCTTGACTTCGACTTAATTTGCAACATCTTGATTTCTTCCATTTCAGTCAGTCTACTGTAGTTCGGCTGGTCTGTCTGGATTAATTGTCCTGTTTATGGCCTAATTTCATCCAAGTCT